AATGTGTAATTAGACATAGAAAGACAATTTTAGGCAGCATCGCTGCAAACGAATATGCTACTAATGGAGATATAAATTTAGATTTATTTTTTCCAAGGCTGGAGAAAGAAGCCAGTAGCTTGAAAATTAGGAAAATTAGAATTTCTCTTAACGAAGACATATTTGATAAAATCCGGATTAAAATTTTTAAAGAAATAAGGGAAAAATTATTAAAAACTTTAACGATAGCGCTATCACCAAAAATATCGACAATTACAAATAAAAAGGAAAAGATGAACATTATAAAAAGATACCATGATGACCCTGCTTTTGGTGGCCACCCTGGGTTACTAGGTTACTACAAAAAATCAGACGTTACCATTTTTGGAAAGGCATGACAAAAGATATAACAAAATACGTAAAACAGTGTACCGATTATCAGAAAAATAAGACATTGATTAATACCAAACAACCATTAATTAAAACCGAAACTCCCGTAAGTTCATTCAATACAATTATAGTTGACACCATCGGACCTCTACCAAGAACAGAATCTGGCAACGAATACGAATACAAAATACTTAATTTCAGTGTCAATGCCTGACAAAACCGCAAAAATAGTAGCTAAAAATATACTGGAAAGATGTGTTCTTATATTTGGGGTACCAAATAAAATTTTGTCAGACATGGGTACTAAATATAAAAATCAGGTGTTAGAAGAGCTATGCAAAATTTAAATATAACTAAAAGCTGCGGCTTATCATCATCAAACTGTAGTTACAGTTAAAAGAAGCCATAGAATGTTTAACGAATATATTAGATCATATATTGCAGGTAGGCATGACTGGCACACTTGGCTGAACTACTACATGACTGGGACAATTGGCTTGCTACAACACAACACCGTCAACTACTCATAGCTATTGTCCTTTTGGATTAGTTTTTGGAAAAATTTCAAATATACCGGAATTTCTAACAACAAATAGCATCGAACACATCGAATATAACATAGAAGCATACGCAAAAGAAGTCAAATTCCGGCTTCAACTAGCTCAGATAAGAGCGAGGAAACTAATTGAAAAGTTTAAGGGTATACAAAAGAGCAAATACGATGAGTATACGAATGAAATACAATTATCAGTCGGTAGTAAAGTATTAATAAGAAATAACTAAGGGCATAAGTTGGATAACGTATACGTAGGCCCTTACACGGTAAAAAGCCTAGATACACTTTTACAAATGTACGTATGTATATACTCGCTGAGCTCTAGCATCATCTAAGAATAATCCATCTATATAGATCATTCTTCCGTATGGCGAAGGTGTAGTGTATAATTGTAATAGAGTCATCTTCGTTACTACTAATTAGGGAAGTTAAGCTTTTATCTACAGCGGTAGACTGTAAGCATGCTAGCAGTAAGAATAAACTCAATGTAAGAAGCAATGGCAGAATAAAGGCGACTCTCAACAAGAGCGTACGGAGCCTTTTAATACAGTCTTATCGAAGCAGACATCGACCGAAGGGATACCACCCTCGAATGCCAGGGCATCGCTATCCTGTCACTAGCTACCCGGCAGGATATCACCCTGAAATAGGTGCGCTCCTCAGAGGTGAAACCCGTTTTGAAGTTAGTGACTTTAATGCGCACCACGATCTTTGGCATTCAAGCCTGTCAAACGATCGTAGGGGAACAGACTTGGCTGAGCAGATAGAGGATTCGATATTCTGCACAATGAACGACGACGCACCCACCAGGATTAGGGGCAGATGCAACAGCTCGCCAGACATAACAATAGTCAGCGGCGGTCTGATAAACGGCGTATCATGGCGACCTATGCTGACCTTAGCATCAGACCATCTGCCCATAATCACCTCGATCGATAAACCAGACGACTTTGCTTCCGCGGAACACCGGACCAATATCAACTTTACTAAAGCTGATTGGAAAGGCTTCGCAGAATTTACTGAAAGCACCTTCGCTGCGCTCCCCACACGAAACGACGTCCACCTAGGTGAAAGTGAGTTCCGCAGGGTTGTCACTGCTGCTGCAGCTCGCTTCGTACCAGCAGAATACATAACGGACCACGGTTCAAAATTCCCTGATGAAGCGGCTGTCTCGCCGATGAGTGTGACAACCTTCGTCAGGTCGATGCCGGAAATCCCCGTATCAGCGCGGGGATTCGGCAGCTTGTGAACGTACATAAGCGGAGAGAGTTGGAAGAGCAGCTGAACACCTGTAACTTCGCCTCTGGTATGAGTAAGCTTTGGTCAACCGTGAGGACACTGTCCAATCCGACGAAGCGCGACGACAGGGTCGGACCCGGAGCGATGCGCGAGCTATTTGAGCCGGCAATTTATACTGCATCCTCCGGCGGACACAGCCAAGCGTCGAGTGACCAGAAGGCTGCCCAAACTGCCAACAACTTGGGCCCCCCTTGTTTTCACTTGAGGTGAAGTTCAGGTAGCCATCGGGAAGGCGAAAGCCTCCAAAGCCATGGGTCCCGACGGAATATGTATGTTGATGCTGATAACTTTGGGTCCTGCGGGAGCAGACTATTTAAAAAAGATGGGGAGAGTGGTAATGTTTAGAGACAAATCGAGTAAACCAAGAAAAATAAAACTGGGGGTTCCACTGGGTGGTGTGCTTTCCCCATTACTGTTTAACTATTATATTTCCAACCCCCAGAGGAAGTCTCGATTGTCTTACGCTGACGATTGTTCGATAATGGCGTCTGGGAATGGAATTGATGACTTGTGCTCGCAACTAAACGGGTATCTCTCCGAGTTTTCTCGCTTCTTCACTGCTAGGAGCCTAACCCTATCCTCTAGACAATCCTCTGCGACCTTGTTTACTACCTGGACGAAGGAGGTCAGACTACTACTGGGAATTCACGTCGATGACACCAATTCGACGGTGAATAACCCCAAAATACTCGGAGTAACCTTCGACAGTCTGCTCTCCTTCTCTGCGCACGCAACCGCAATTGTCAACAAAGTACAGAGCCGCAACAAGGTCCTCAAGACGCCAGCCGGCAGTACCTGGGGCAAAGACAGTGAAACGTTGCTGGCAACATACAAGGCAATTGGCCGGCCGATTTTAAATTACGCAGCATCAGTGTGGTCGCCGGGGACTAGTAGGACGCAGTGGATGAAGCTGCAGACGACACAAAACACTACACTTCGGACAGCGACTGGATGTCTTCTGATGTCGCCAGCTGCATGAGGAGGTGAAAATGCTCCCCATAAAGGAGCGCAACACAATGCTGTGCAAGCAATTCCTAGTAGGGAGCCACAGATGTGGACACCCGAACAGACACTTGCTTTCAGAGCAGCCCTCGCCAAGGCTCGTCAGAAGGTATCTATATGAACTGACGGACGAAGTCCAGAGGTTCATAAACCAACCTTTGGACCCGTCAGCTTACCGACAGGCCCTTAGCGGCATTAACAGGGAGTCGGTCTCCAGTTTACACTCCAGACCTGTGAATGCCGTTCTAGGCACACAACCACCTGCCTCGGGAGACTAGAACCACAATAGCACAATTTCGCTCGGGCTACTGCAGCAGGTTAAACTCATACCTCAGCAGATTAGATGCAGATGTGCCAAATTAGTGTCCGGCATTCGACACCCCACGACTCGAAACTTCTCTTCATATGCCCGGATAACCCCACACGGCTAACGCCTCTGTCCCTATGGTCAGGCCCTATAGAGGCTGCACGCTTCTTGGGTCTTCCGTTAGTTGAGCTTGACCACAACGACTGAGATACTAACCAATCTGGGCGGGGTTGTTGTAGCCGCTACAACAACAACAACAACGGAAGTGTTGACCGTCCATCAGGTAGCACGGAGCATCGTGCGAAGACCTTCAGAAAAGAAACGCGTCCTCCGATTGAGAAGCCTGAAAGCTTTATTCTCACGAACAACGCAAAGTTCTTTATTGAATTGCCAGATATTTGAACGAAGTGGTCCAGCATTATAGAACTCAATATTGGTAACTGGATACACTGTGTTGGGGGAAATTGCAAAGCTGACGAGTTTGCAAGGCTAGGTACGGTAGCCCATTTGAAGATTTTTTCACACGTAGAAACTATACTTTAATTATATGTTTGTGGCTCGTATAATAAAGTAAAGTTATTACAGAAACGCTCAGTAGGCACTATTTTTAATGGACTCTGGAAACGTACTTGGGGGCATCTGCGTTAAGCCAAATTGTGGCTCCATTGTAAACTCCATAAAACTTAAGTAATTTTTGGTTTCAAATAATAGTAAAAGATCGGCGCTTACACATATGTTAGTGTTTGGCCGAGCTTCTCCTCCGATTTGTGGCGTGCGCCTTGATGTTGGCACACAAAGCGGAGGGACCTACAGTTTTACGCCGACTCCGAACGGCGATTGTATTTTTATGGGAAGCTGTTTTTCATGGCATGGCGTGGTTTCAAATAAAAATTTTAACTTGATGCTATTGGATTTGGAGCTTTTTGGCTGGTTATATTAAATAAAAAAGTGTTTATTCTTCTCCTACGCGTTTCGACGCATAATCCAACAGCATTGAATTTTCAATCTTGGCCCAAGAAAAATAATATTTAATTTGTCATTTATGTTATTTTTTTTACCTTCCTTTTATTAGCTCGGGATGTAAGTATGTAATATTGATGCGCCTAAAAGATGCAGCGATTTCTATTCTCAAGTTACATACCTGATGACAGTACGAATGGCAATTATAATAGGGAGGTTTTAGTTTTTTAAACTACAATTTTATTAATAAGACTATAAAATATCGGAGTGCTCTTTTAAGGGAGTAATTTTAATGCGTTGGGTCGCAAAGAAAACCTTTAACTAAACAACTACCAGTTTGAATGATATTTGATTAAAGTAAGATGACGGGGTTTTATTTTCCCAAGCACAAAATGAATAACCCGTTATGCATACTGTATTTGAATAGGTTTTCTTAAACGTGTTATTAATTTTACGTTCATTTCTAAATTATTCACTTAAAATATCTAACTTATTCATTGATTTTAGGGAAAATATGCCGTCACACTTTAAAGTAAAAGAATACTGTCCTTTAGTATTTCGAAATTTGCGTGAAAGATTTAGTGTTGATGATGTCGACTATCGCGAATCCTTAACTCGTTCGCAGCCAGTACGCATTGAATCATCAGGAAAATCGGGTGCACAATTCTACCAAAGCTATGATAAATTTTTCATAATTAAGAGCTTGACGTCGGAGGAAATCGAGCGTATGCATGCGTTCTTAAAGCAATATCATCCCGTAAGTATACTAGGATGTTACTATGTATAATTTTGTAATAATTACACTTATGTGTGTTTAATAATAATACGAAGGTCACTAAACTAGTCTACATCAATGTAATTTGAGGCGATCAGACATTTGCATTGTAAAATTTTAAATTTTTTACCATTCACGTACTCAATACGTTTTACAGTATGAGCGCTCTTTGTGTTGTTTACAGTTACTTTTTAAGTAGACAAAAAAATGAATATTTCAAATTGAATGATTGTTTACAACTCTGGACGTCGATCAACACAACAATAGTGCATCGACGAACTTCTTTCCATTTTTTGTGATGAAACGCCATCTTGGGCCAGTGTGTATAATAGGTATAATCCATAAAAGCCTGGTCGTACTTCGCTCGCCGATGAGCATCGAGAAGGTCGTTCTACATCGGTTTGTACGCCAGAAAACAATGGAATATCGTCATGTGACACATAGGGAGATTGAGGCGGTCCTAGGCATTAGAGCTCCTACCATACATATTAAATTGCATGAACATTTAAAGCTAAGAGCGCGTTGGATCCCACATAATGGATTCCATGTCTCAACAACACACACAAAAATAACACAAACGAGAATTACAAAAAACAAACATCTTCTTCCCCTTTATTGGCGCTGTAACCGCCTTAGCGATTTTGGCCGAGTCCAAAACAGCTCGCCAGTCATTTCTCTTATGTGCCAATTTAAAATGCCAAGTGGAGCCAAGTCCTTCTCAACCTGGTTTTTCCAACGCAGAGGAAGCCTTCCTCTTCCTCTGTTACAAGCATCGCGACCCGCGATGAATACTTTCAGAGCTGGAGCGTTTCTACATAGCCAGCGTAGCCGCTGGATTTTAATTCGCTGTACTATGTCTATAACGTTGTAAAGCTTTGGCGATTTTGGCCGAGTCCAAAACAGCTCGCCAGTCATTTCTCTTATGTGCCAATTGAAAATGGCAAGTGGAGCCAAGTACTTCTCAACCTGGTTTTTCCAACGCAGAGGAAGCCTTCCTCTTCCTCTGTTACCAGCATCGCGACCCGCGATTAATACTTTCAGAGCTGGAGCGTTTCCACATAGCCAGCGTAGCCGCTGGATTTTAATTCGCTGTACTATGTCTATATCGTTGCAAAGCTCATACAGCTCATCGTTAAATCGTCTGCGGTATTCGCCAGTGCGTAAATGCCCGTAAATCTTTTCCTCGAAAACTCCAAGCCGTGCTTCATCAGATGTTTTCATTGTCCATGCCTCAGCGCCATACACCAGCATGGGCATGATGAATGACTGATTGAGAGTGATTTTTGTACGATGAAGTAAAGTCGTCCACTTCTCAATTGCGTACTCAGTACAAAGTAGCACTTGTTGGCAAGAGTGATTCTGCGTTGGGTTTTGATGCTGACATTATTATCGGGGTTAAAGCTGGTTCCCAAGTATACGAAATTCTCTACTTTCTCGAAATTATAACTGTCAACAGTGACGTAGTGGCCAAGGCGCTAATCCGCTGACTGATTGGGGACAGGAGATACTTCGTCTTGTCCTCGTTTACCACCAGACCCATTCGCTTTGCTTCCTTATCCACCTAGGTAAGGGCAGAACAGACTTCGCGGTTTTTGTTACCGATGATGTCGATGTCACCGGCACACCCCAGCAATTGTACGCTCTTGTAGTAAATTCTTCAGTTCAGTGTAGAAATGGTTCAGTTCCGCGGCACTTATTATCTTCTCCAACATCAGATTAAAGAAATCTCACGAAAGGGAGCCACCGTGTCTGAAACCTCGTTTGGTATCAAACGGCTCGGAGAGGTCCTTTTCAATTCTGACGGAGCTGGTGGCATTGCTCAACGACATTTTACACAGCCCTATTAGATTCGCGGGGAAATTACATATTTTCGTGCTGTCGAAAGCGGATTTTAAATCGACGAATCGGCGTGTCGATCCTATTCTCGCACACTGATAAGGCCCAATCAGTTCGTTGACGGTGGGCTTCAGTCTTTCACACAATACGCTCGATAAGACCCTGTAACCTATGCTTAGAAGGCTGATCCCGCGGTAGTTGGCGCGAATGCCGCGGTCATCTTTCTTGTAGATTGGGCAGAGCACACTTAAATTCCAGTCTTCGGGCATGCGTTCATCTGACATATTCTGCAAAAGAGCTGATGCATGCACCTTACCAACTCCTCGCCGCCGTACTTGATTAGCTCGGTTGGCAGGCAGTCAGCTCCAGCAGCTTTCTTGTTTTTCGTACCTCGTCATAGTTAGGTGGTAGAACATCGACTCCGTTCAGTTCCCTCCATATTTTAAGTGCGATCTGGACATCAGTGACTAGGTTCCCTTGTTGTTCTTACAAGAGTTCGCCCTTTTCTTGAAACCTTCCGTAAGTCGCCTCTGTGATAAAACTTTCGGGCGCTTCTCCTATTGACCAGCATTTCAAGCTCTTTGCAATCACGTATTTCGGCGTCTTCTTGTTGTGGCAAATACGTCTCGCTTCCCACGTCAGTTAACTATAGCGGTCCTATATAGCTCGTGTTGCGCCGATCGCAGCGTGGTTCTGTAGGCCACATATATTTTCTCTGCAGCTTCTAGACACTCCTCATCGTACCAGTTGTTCTTTCGGGCTTTCCCACTACTTCGGCGGTGGTACTTAATGAACGGGAAGTGTGGTTCCACTGTTCGCATATGTCGGTTTGTTAAAGAGTTGTTGGATTTAAATTACTTCACGTCTTTATTATTCAACAGCGCCGCCTATCGGCTTATATACACATTGCAATTTCTATTCATTGTAAACGTTCTGTTCTCATTATACCACACAAGTGTAACAACACGTTTTTTTATTTTCTCATTAAATTATATTAAAACTATTTTATTGTTTTATTATAACCACTGAAATCCAAAAGGTTTTGGGCCCAGTGGCTGTATTTATCGAGTAAAATTGAAGAACACTTAAAAGTTGGAAAATCTAAGTAATTCTACTGAATAAGCCATATTCATCGTAGTGAAGATTGGTTCGCGCTTTGCTGTGGTATATGAATATATATGTATGTACATATATGCGTGTATGAAAGCCCACGTGTTGGTTAAAAACTCGAGAACATTCTTGCACCAGATAAGTTGTAAATTTTAATAGAAATTGTCAAATACATAGTCGTGTCGCCGTACCGTAGTATTTGCTTATTGTTTATTACACAAAATGGATTTAGTAGACGAAAAACCTGGCAATGGTGTAGCCGTCACTCATCACAAATTAAATGGTATGAATTACAAGTTGTGGAAGTTCCAAATTGATGCTGTGATGAAATCCAGAGGCCTGATGGACGTCATGGCCGGCAATGTTCCTGGTGAAACTGCAAGTGCTGCTGAGAAAAGTCAATACGACAGAAATGATGGCAAAGCAATGGCGATTTTAATTTCATCGGTGGACAATGAACAAGCGAATCATATTCTTATGTGTAAGACTGCGAAAGAGATTGCAGATAAGTTGTCTAATTTGCATGAAAAACGTAGCGAGGTGCGCATTATGAATCTATATGAGGAATATTTTTCTTTGAAAATGACTGAGGGCGAATCAGTTACGTCGTATGTGTCAAAGGTGAGTAGAATGGCACATGAAATCGAAGACCAAGGTGAAAAACTATCTGAGAACATTAAAATGGTGCGGATCATTAGCAGTTTGACACCCAAATTTCGTAACTTCAAGACAGTTTGGTACAACATAAAAGAAGCAAGAACGTTGGATAGTTTGATGGCTCGTTTGCAGCTGGAGGAGGATCAAATGAACAAAGTGGATGATACACCATCAGATGTGGCTTTCAGTGCGAAATTCAAATCAAAANTACTTGAATGGGACAGCTGAACGAGGAATTCAATACTCTGGTCCTTCCACGACATTGAAAGGATATTCTGACTCTGACTTTGCGCGTGATGTTGATACGCGAAAATCTACCACAGGTTACGTATTTTTGGTGGGTGGAGGTGTTATTACCTGGAAGAGTCACCGCCAGAAAACAGTAGCACTTTCAACCACTGAGGCTGAATTTATGGCAGCATGTGAAGGTGCAAAGGAAGCAGTTTGGTTACATCAGTTACTTCGTGACGTAGGCTATGCACAAGAAAGCCCACCGTCACTTTACATCGACAATCAGAGCGCAATTCGACTTATCAAAAATTCGGAATTGCATCAACGAACCAAACACATCGATGTTCGACTACATTTTATTCGGCAGCTATACGAGTCGAAGAAGATTTCGATTTACTACGTTTGCAGTGAAGACCAATTGGGCGATGTTTTTACTAAGCCGTTAACAACTCAGAAGTTTATCAAAAACGTAGAGATGTTGGGAATGAAAGACTTGAAATAATTAGTGGGAGTGTTGGATTTAAATTACTTCACGTCTTTATTATTCAACAGCGCCGCCTATCGGCTTATATACACATTGCAATTTCTATTCATTGTAAACGTTCTGTTCTCATTATACCACACAAGTGTAACAACACGTTTTTTTATTTTCTCATTAAATTATATTAAAACTATTTTATTGTTTTATTATAACCACTGAAATCCAAAAAGAGTGCTCCCTGAGAGCAGGTGTGAGAGTCGAGTAACGAATGCATTGGCCGTCAGTTGTGATTGCAGCTTTTCCACGTTAAGCTTTCCTTGCATTTTTGGGCGCACATTTTTTGCTGCACAGATGCGGGTGCGTATCTTGGCTGCAACAAGGAAGTGGTCCGAGTAGATGTTTAGCCCTCGGAGTGTACGTACGTGTAAAACACTGGAAGCATGCCTTCCGTCTATCACAACTTGATCGATTTGGTATCTCGGTTTTCGATCTGGAGACAGCCATGTACCTTCATGTATCTTTTTATGCTTGAACCTAGTACTGCATACTACCATGTTTCGGGTCCCGGCGAAGTCGATCGGCCACAGTCCGATGTCGGACGTTTCGTCGTGGGGGCTGAATTTTCAGACAGTAGCGCCAAAGATCCCTTCCTTGGGTGCATGGGTTCAGATTAGTGAGATGTTGAAGAGTTTTGCTTTTATGCGGATTGTGGCTAGACGTTCTTACACTGGGGCAGCGTTGCCAGGTTGACGTTTTTAACGTCATTTGGACGTTTTTTGTATCTTGTTGACGTTCGGACGTTTTGTGTGAAAAAATTACGTTTTTTAACTTCCCAGTAATTTTTCTCTGTTACTTAATCTTGTAAGTAGAACTGATTTTGAATTATTTTCTTAATAAATCTTTACAAGCTTTGTTTTTTGCAGCAGCTTCTTCAAAAGATATTTACCCTTTGAACACAAATGACTTAAATACGATGCAAACTAAGCGTATGCGTATTTTTTTCGATTCTTGGAACGGATCCCGCGTTCAAAGGCTGGTTTTGTAAACACTTGAGGTTACGAGGCTTATTGCAATGTTTGCAATTGCACATTAAAAGCCAATTCAGGAAGAGATGATCTATTGCAACACGCACGCTCGCAATAGCACCAAAAAAGCTGTAGCAGCATAAAAATTCAAAAAAAAGTAAGCGACTTTTTTAAGACTTCATTGAAAATCGACTGCTGAGTGGAAGATCGACTTATCTCGGCAACCAGTTCGAAAACGCCCTATCTCAAAAAACTTTTCAAATACGTCCTATTTGAGAATTTGATTACAAACGCTCTATTTCAGAATTCGTTTCAAAAAGGCCCTATCTCAGCTGCCGATTCAAAAACGCCCTACATCAGCACCTTTTCAAAACATTTTGAAGTAAGATAGGGCATTTTTTAATCGAATTCTGAAATATGGCGTTCTTCAACCAAATTCTGAGGTAGAGTGTTTTTCTATAAAATTCTGAAATAGGGCGTTATGGAAATTTTTTTTGAGATAGGGCGTTTTCGAACTGGTTGCCGAGACAGGTCGATCTTCCACTCAGCAGTCGAAATATAATGAACGCGAAAAAGGCTGACATATTGCTATGTTCCTTCTTAGCAGAACGTAATTTAGCATTTTCGACAACCGACCACCTAACCCAAATGTCTACAAGAGAAAAAAATATTAAAAATCAACGCGATTCTTTAGCAACTTAAAACTTGCACATTATTACCCTGGAAAATAATTGGCTATCAAACTGCATACTCAAAAAAATTCTTAAAAATCTGCATAAAAAGTTGAAAATCTTCCTGAAACTTTGCAGATTTTTTATAATTTTTGTTTGTTATATAATGAGCTAAGCTTTTATGGGAAAATAATAAACATTAAATAAACAAAAGGAAAACAGCCACAATCGATCAAAATATTGATGACTTAATCAGCTGACCACAAGTGTATGTATGAAATGATGTTTATATTAACGAGCTCAAACTAGTTTACAATGAATTTTAAATGTGCTCTATCGAAATAACATTTTAATATATATATATCTTACATACATATATACCTTTGTACCTTTGTATACAATTAAAGTTGAATAAGAACAATTCTGTGTGCATACATTTGAAAAAGACGGTTTTGGGTAGGAAATGACGTTTTTTCAGACCAAGAGGGACGTTTTCTCGTGCCGAAGACCTGGCAACACTGCACTGGGGTGAACGACAGTCCCTCTCCCTCCACAAATCCAACACCAAAATTGCACTCCTTTACATGGCAGCTGTAGTTATATGAAACAAATCCGACCATAAATACGGATTTTTCAAATATCCCGACACCTGCGCCACCTAGCCAAATAATTCATCTTGCATATTGGGTTGTCATCGGGTTTTGAGCTATGTTTGAGGTTTCAAGTCTCTAGCTCATCGGAAAGTTGCTTAAAAACTGATTGCAAGCTTCGATTACACACAGGTGAAACTTAATAAAAGATTGTAAAGGGGTTTAACTTTGAGAGCCACATAGAAGTTTACCGAAAATAGGAATAAAAGACACACTTAAAGTTGCTTTTATTCAGACTATTACGAATATGAGTTGCGAATAGTATTGACAAAAAATAGTCTTGCACATGTTAGATAATTATAGTTGGGTATAATAAATTACGTTAGGAGTACAGATTTCGGAACAGATAATTTTTCGTAGAGATACATAGCTAGGTTCCTTATTCAGCATAAGGTGAATTGAAAAAGAGATTTCGGGTATTCAGAAATACCTCAGCCCAATAGAAACGATTTCTATTCATATATCTGATCATTTTTCGCAAACAAAGACATACCGCGTGAATTTATTGAACACCATCCAATTTTATGAGTTAATTGGGAATCCAGCCTACTGTAGATTATTTTAGAGTAGATTAGATTAGATTTAGAGAAGCGAGCAGGTCACCTAGTGACCGCGATCTATTGTAAAACAAACCTCTATTCAACTACAGGCCATCTTTGATCTACTTACTGCTTAGAAACCTCGCAAGGTCTATTGGCTGAAAGCCATTTAGGTCGTGTGCTTCTAGATACGGGGATCTTAGGTAGCGAAGTCTGGTCCTCGTGAAGGCTTCACAGTGGCAGATAATACGCTCTGCTGTTTCCTGTTCCTCGTTGCACAACCTAGACTGTTCAGAGTTAACAAATCCAATGTTTGACAAGTGTTTCATTGCCCTACAGTGGCCGGTAAGAAAGCCTGTAACAATTCTTACTTCACTCCTACTGAGGTGAAGGAGTTCTTTAGTTCTCCTTGTTGATATATTCGGAACGAAGGAAGGTAAAGTTGCGCTTCGTTCTTCATCCAGATATAGTAGTTTCACCTAACGGAGCTCCATGGCAGACCCGTAAAGGGTCCTGGGCCTATAAATCCCAGTGCAGCCATTTACTGGCGAGAATATCTTCCACTTCATTGCCCATGACTCCACTGTATCCCGGTACCCATATGCGGTATACCCGTTTCCTGGTGGCGATCAATATCAAAAGTTTAAGACAGTCCCACACCAGCTTTGAGGTGACCCTATAAGAGCGAGGAGCGCCGGATAAAAATTAGCGAAAAACGACAAATGGTCTTTCATCAAGACGCAATGTTATATCTCGTCAAACAAATGATTTTTAAGCATTTAAATTATCAAAGTGATGGGTCATCCGCCGTACAGTCCTGATTCGGCAATTAGGATTAACTGCGCGGACAACGATTTTCATCGCCAGGAGATGCGTTCAAAAACCATATTTTTGAGGTACCGACTTATTCGCAGGAAACATTTTTGAGCATATGGAAAAGTATATAAATCTTGCAGGAGAATATTTTAGAAACCAATAAGACCATATTTATAAACAACCGTTTTTTTTAGATAGTCTAAAGACTTGTTTAGTGTCCGTCGTATTACACTTTATTATTGCTAGTTCTAGTGGCATTATTGATCTCGGCCATTTAAGAGTACATTTACGAAATGTGGTGGTTTCTGTTGGTTGATATGTTTTCGTATAGAAGAAGCTAATTAGACATTCGTAATTTACATACATTACGGCCATTGTATCCTCTGTACTTAGCTTTAACGGCCGACAGTTGTCACAGCATTAGGCTTTAGCACATTAGCATCTGTGAATGACACTTAGCGTTTAAAAAATGTATTTTATTCTGTTTTTTTGTTGTTATCTCCCGCACTTTGCTCGCTATCAAAAAACATTTGCTATTTTGTTTACGGACTTTAGTATGTCGTGGAAAAGCATGGCAAAACTCTCCTACCGCAATATTTGGGTATGTACAGGATAACTGTAGAGAGCGGACAATATTATTTCGTGGTCATGCGCAATGTATTCAGCTCACATTTAACAATTCACAAGTAAGTTATAATTAATTGGAAACACACGCTCTATGTTTTTATGGCAAACATTTAATATGAACTTTGTAGGAAATTTGATTTAAAAGGCAGTACGGTCGACCGCGAGGCTTCTGAAAAAGAGTTAGAAAAGCATTTACCCACATATAAAGACAATGATTTTATGAAGCAAAAAGTCAGAATTGAAATTGGGGAAGAAGCAAAAAAGAAGTTGTTGGACACGTTATCAAGTGATGTTGATGTAAGTAAAAAAAACTCTTGACTATACAATTTTAATTAATCACATTTTCTCTACAAAATACAGCTCTTAACAAAGTTACACATAATGGACTATTCGCTCTTAGTCGGCATACATGACTGCGTTCGTGCTGAAGAAGAAGCATTACAGGGAGAAAACTCCCAAGTGACTGGTCGTAGTGAAAACAGTGAGAGCGAGGAATGTGATAGCGGAGAAAGGTGAGTTCAATGAAGAGTGATTTATACGAACATAAATATACTTCACGTTTACGAAATCGATTGCAGATGGACTTACAATACACCGCCAGATTCGCCGCGTGGCGCACAATACAAAGAAGTTGTCTACGAAGTTGACATCTATGCCATTCCAAGTACTGAAGGTAAGAACATATCGTCTCCATCAATGCAAACTACCCTATTTGATACAATTTTAAATTTCCCAGAAAAAAACAAAGAAACTTTAAAGTTATATGTGAAGGAAATGCTTACAGAGCTGCTCTAAGAATGCCAATACATCTTGTATTTCTTAAGATTTCGTTTTGAATTTTAGTAAGGAGGGCATTTGGGAGCAAATTTAAGGCATATTCCTAAAACACAATTAAAAACTTCAAGTAGGGTCTTTTTCATTGAGGTAGACGATAAATTGGTTTAATTTTAATATTGCATTTTCTTCCATTTAACACAGACCCATCTCCTGATATTTCCAAAACCAGCATTTATTTTAAAGATTGGGAAAGGTTACATTGCACACCAAGATTTCGACAAGTCTGAACTAAAAGGAAACTACGCCTGAGAAATTTTAAATCATATCTTTTTGCGACTTAGCACAATTAAATCCCGTTTCCTGTCGAACAATTGAATATTAAGAAAATTGGCTCTTCTGAGATTTTCTTTTAACAACCAATTCGGTTTCGTTTACTTTTAGTACAGAAATGTTATCTCTATCATTCTTGATTGCACACTAGATCTTGTGAGAACGAGAAAATCTTCAGTTTAAATTGGCAATTTTATAATTCTCTTTTGTTTTGTATTAAAAGTTTTAAAGGGATCTATTACATGGTGTGAAAAAAATACCCGAACTTTTTAAGTGACTTGTAAAACCCACGGGTCGGGTAAATTACAAAATTTTGTTTAAAAATTAATAATATCTGATAGAGGCTAATGGATATGTATCAGAAAATTTAAATTTACAGATCGAAAAACACATTGTGTAAGAAGACTTTTACGTGCGCTACTCGTTTACCTGGAGTTCGCTTAGCCAAAAAATTTTTTTACTAACCTATTTAATTTCAAAGATTTCGTACTGAATTTTTTTAATATTTTGAATTTCAGAAAGACGAGAAATATATTTTATTGCCATTATAGATGTTTTAACGCAATATGGCGTAAAAAAGCAGGTAAGTTTTACGCTTTAAAATTGTGTCCACCACAGTCTATCAGTATTTCTATTATAAAATAATATTAACGTTAAACGGTAAATATAGCGCCCGGAAAAATGATTAGGTTTTCTCAATATGGACACAGTATAAGCAAACGAGAATGCTTTGAATGTGGTAACCTTAGTACATACAATTCTAAAACCAAGTGAGAGAAAACTCGGTTTGGGTCGTGGGAATGTAGAGTTAGATTTCAGAGCGAATTTTTCGCAAAGTGTTGCGCTTTTAGCTCTGCAACTGTTTCGTACTGTTTGTTTTGAGCATACACCTTGCCTACAATCAGTCCTCATAAATTTTAGATAACAATTACATTGGCAGAACGAGCTAGCCAGTCAAGCAAGTCAATGTTATGATCCACAAACGATTTCCTTGTTGTCTACTAACAAGAATTTTAAGCAAGGTAAGGCAGAGAGAATACTGGTACCTCGAACTGCTCATCCGTGTTGACGTAAAGTCAAGTTTTAGGGTATCACTGGAGCTGAAAGCACCCCACACCGTCTCGGAAAGTACATTTCGCAAATCCCGGCAATAACAGTTTTAACCATCTGGTACATCAAGATTGAATTTTTTCTCATCAGATGAAATATCTGAGAAGTGAAGTGTACATTAATTATAAAGTTTTTACCTAATGCCGATTTTTCTCATGTTTCTTTTGGCGAACTCCTTCCGTTAAATTGTGCGCCTCTGTTAGAAACGGCACTTTCTTCAATATTGATCGCGAAATTTGGAGCTGAACATTGATAAACCTGATAATTGTCCTGGTTGACGCTTGTAAGACAAGGCACTTTTTTTTATTGTTTCTGCACTTTTCCTCGAGGTATTAAGGACCGTAGTGCGAATATTACTTTTTAATTTGCCGTAATTTTTCGTTTTTGATAAAGTTTGGTACGACGCACGAAGATCTATCCAAACGTGCAGCGATTCCTCTAATGCTTATTTCGTGAGTATTCAAAAAAAAGTTTTAACAACAAAACTGGCGTTGGATGACTAATTAACAGCATCTTAAAGTCTTCCCTTATAATTTTGGCGCAATGCATTATTATTAATCCCAACAATTGCTCTCCTCTCGCCCATCCGCACGAAGTACGGAACTTTGTTTTTTAATTACTGCGTCTGTTACACGTTATATATTTGGTTCGCCTATTGGACTGTGAGATATTCGAGTATTTGAATGCAAGGAACTGTATTTTTCTATTCAGTTTAATATCGGATAAGCTGCCTAGCTATTTGTATAATAACAGGGCTGCAAACCGGTTTTGAACTGAACCGGTTTTTGAACCGAACCGTCGATTTTTTCTGGCTTCGAACCGAACCGTTTTTATTTTGAACTGCCTAAACCGAACCAAAAACCACCAAAAAAAAAAAAAATGGTTCGGTTCGGTTCAAAATGAAAATCCACCAAAACATTTTCATGGGTTGTTTTTGCTTACGCGTAAAAGCATATTTAGCCCATTTAGCTCTAAATGCTTCTCTAAATGGACATTTATCCAAACAAAATTCGTCAGCTAAATGCAACTAAATGTAACTCCGTTTCTGCATTAAAAGTCTAAATGCTAAAAGCAACCCTGTGATCTGCAAAAATTTCCACGATTCGAACATAGTTTAATGAGAAAAAGTGGCACATTGGGTTTTCGCGTATACAGAGATTTATTATTTTTTAGTTTCCATTATTTGGAAAAAGAAAAGTTGCGCGAATTCAACACCGATGTGATACTGCTGGAAATCTGGCTAAGTCTGTTTGATTTTTCCTATTTAATTGAGGAAATTTCAATTGACAGCACCGACAAATTAATATATATACAAACAAATTTTCGGTTATGGTTAAAACAATTAAAGTTTTTGTATTGAATTTTTTGTTTAAAATTTCTTTTTCCCTTTTCAGCAGGGTTTTATACACATTATCTTCTCTGTGCGAATCGATCGTGATAGATACGGATCTGAATAAGCGACTGGAACACGGCTGTTTGTCAAAAACATGCGACTTCGAACTCGCGTAAATATACATTTGCTAAATGCGAAAGCATGAACGCTCTTCGAAAAAATATGTTCGAGAGTGCTAAATCTTGCATTTTACATGTTCCTTAAAATTAAGTGTTTTGGCTAAAATTCATCTTTGAGTACACAAGGGTAAAATAGAGTTCTTTTCAGTGTCCCACTAGTCACATTCATTCAAATGATAGTTACATAAAACTAAAAAATCGTTTGGTATTTTTGTTAAAGCAATTTTATTCATTAGTTATCGTTCTATGTTAAAAAATATCTTTCGCTGGTGTATAAGTTCCGACGACATAGTTAAAATTCACAATTGATCACATTCTGGAGTAAAATGTCCCACTAGTCACAATGGAATGGCCCTCCAGTTGCTACTCGCAGTAGCTTAAACAAGGGCAACGTTAGGAATGTGTAGTATTCGTACCTTCGTCAATAAGTTTTTGTGCTCTGAGTTTCGCTATCTGCTAGGATTACCATATTTATATGTATTTTCTTTCTACACCTGTTTACGTTTGTCTCGTTGTGTTTTTATTTATGTAATAATGTTAGCTTTTAGTCTTGGGATTAGTTGCATTTTCTTTTTTCTTTTATTCTCTATTTTTATTTTTTTCTTAATTCTTAGTTTTATATATTTTTTTATTTATTGTTTTTCTTTCGTTGCTTTATGTTTGTGCTTTATCACTACTGTTGTACTAGAAAAGATGTTTTTGATCTTAGTGTATTTGTTTAGTAAATGAAATGAAAAAGAAGCGGACTTGAAATTGAGCCTGTCAGCAATTTAACCGTAAAAAGTGTACCAAGCATTTCCCTGCGACTGACAATATAAGAAGGTTAATAAGTTTTAGGCCCCTATTATGATTCACAACTTTGAAGATAGTTGAGTTGAAAGTTGTAAATTGGTATTGTGGTTCACAACTCAATTCAACTTTGAAAACGTAGATGTCTGGCACCAGCATCCTCGGACTCATCGGTAAACATAATTCGTAACTGATACATTTGCTTTTAATTGTTTTAATATCATTAAAATAACATATTATTAAAATACCAAAATTTTTCTCGAACTTCCCACTTTTTCAGTGGCTACAGTCAACATAATAGGGGCCTTAAACGACTCGTATAAGATTATATCGGGAATCCCAAAGGGAGTTTCTTAAAGAAAAAAGTAGGAATTGTTTTTGAATTGATTCTATCTTGTCTGAGAAAATTTGTTACCTTGGATTCCAAACCACCCAACCGTATTCCAGAATCGGTCTAACTAATGTAGCAAACAGGGTCTAGTGATTCTTTGGACCATCGTTTCGCAAATGCAAGTAACCCTTTAGCCTTGTTGACGTGTCACATTAATGTGAAGATTAAAATTAAGTTATGGATCCATTGTGATACCAAGGTCAAAGAAATTGTATACCTTTCCCAGATTATGGCTTCGTATTGTATAAGAAACCGGCTGAACAGCTCTTCGAATGTATTTACATAAACTCAACAACAACAAGCACTTGTTGGCAAATCCATGACCCAAACTGGTTTTTTCTGTCTCACTTGGATATAGCATATTCAGTGGCGGATTTAAGGCCAACAAAAGAAGCAGTGCTGACTGGGCCCCAAAAGAAGGGCCTCACTGCTCTCACCAGCAACTAGCTCAAGTGCAAAATCGGAAAATTTTTTCATTTGTGCCACATCAACGATAAAATGTATATATAAAAGGGAAATTTGTAGCAAAACGTTTTCTAGAAAAATAATTTTGTTGACAAACATACCCACTATACAAAATGTGGGAAATAGGCAACAATCGTCAATGGCAACAAATTGGCGACTCACCGATATATTTCCGTGGTGACAAATCGGCAACATCATTTCTCTCATGTCATTTTAGAAATAAAAAGTTATCAAAAAATCCCAAACTGATGAATTTCGCGGCAAGAGTATTATCCAAAAGCATTTATGCCAAAGATAGGATTGAAAAAATAGGAGGCCATAGCAAGAAAATTATTTAATTTCGTTTATAAGTTCCAATTTTGTATACAAAAAATACCCGAAGCGGGCATATAAAAGAATAAAATTATTCCAAATAAAAAAAAAAACCGATGAAAAAAAACTCATTGAGACCCGGCCGGTTGATGTTCTCGGGAAGAGGGGCTTACCGGGCAAGCCGACGTAAGCAATTCAAAATTACACGTTCGTCAGAAAATCCGAAAAACTATTGCGTAGCACATGCTAATCATATAGGCAAGGGAGACTTTATCTTAGGTTTTTTCAACAAAGTATAACAAAAATTTGCTCCCGCTTTTACTGGAAGGTAAATAAAAGCTCGTGTGTACATTTTTAGTGCATAATTTAAAAAATTCTAAATTTTGAGTTGTGTCACTTTTGAAGATCGTGTGCGATATGAGAGCTGTCCCGACACGATATTAAAATCGAGCCTTGCGATTTCCATGCCAAAGTGGGCAAGGAAGGGATCTTTTGCGCCTCTATCGAAAAATTCAGCCTCCACAACGAAATGTCCGATAACGGACTGAGGCTGATCGACTTCGCCGGGCCCGAAACATGATATTATATAGTACTAGATCCCAGCATTAAAAGATCCATCAGCTACATGGCTGTCTCCAGATCGAAAATCAAGAAACCAGTTCGACCATGTTTTGATAGTCGGAATGCATACTTCCAGTGTTTTAGACGTACATACAGTCCGAGAGCCAAACATCGGCTCGGACAACTATCTTGTTGCAGCCAAGATACGCACCCGCCTCTATGCAGCAAAAAATGTGCGCTCAAATATGCAAATAAAGCTTAAAGTGGAAAAGCTGTAATCCAATAGACAGCCAATGCATTCGTTACTCGACTCTCAAACCTGCTCTCTGACAGCACTCTTCAAAAATCCGACATACGCGATCATTGGAACCACATTTCCCGATCATTAGGTACCGCCGCCGAAGACATAGTTGGATTTCAGCGAGCCCGAAAGAACAACAAAAACAAAAAAGAAGAAAAGAAAGAAAGAAAAAAATGTGCGTCCAACAATGCAAGGAAAGCTTAACGGAGTACTGCAATCACAACATACCGCTAATTTTTTCGCCACTCTACTTTAACACCTGGTCTCTGAGAGCACTTCAACAAACTGACGTACGCGAGCAGTGGAACTACACTTCCCGCTTAATAAGTAACGCCTCGAAAGAAGTAGTCGGATTTCAGCCCGAAAAAACAATGGGTACGATGAGGACTGTCAACAGGCTGCAGAGATAAAAGATACCGTTTACGGGACCACGCTGCGATCAAAACGAGCCATGTCGGACCATGTGGGAGGCGAGTCTTGTGGGGTCGTTAAAGAATTGCCGTGCTTCCTTTGTTTTGAAAGATTAGTGGCAAACTCAATGTTTTTGGATTCCGCGATGTAAATATTTGCTGAACAAAAAGCAAAACGCGAATTCAAAGTTGCATAGGAAATCCTTTCTGTATTGTATGTATGTATATATAACAAAACTGGGTTCCCCAAGATATTTTCTTAAATCCGCCGCTGAGCATTTTATATAATGAGTTTATGCAAAGCAAAAATTAGCAACCTGCAACTTAAGGATTATAAATAGCATGATTCAAGAGGCAAATAGGTCATGGTTTTTCGAGGGCATTAGTACAACTAGGCTACTATGGCCGCAAATTGATAAGAAAACACTACAGAACTGATCAGATTCTCAAGAGAGGACATTTCGATGATCATGGCTTGTGTAACCGGTCATTGGCTATTTAGTAAGCACACTTCGAGTATCACAATGGACCTACAAGGTCTAAGTGAGTTGGCCAGTGGACAGACTGCCGCACCAACCTAACGGACCCTTTACTTATTCAGGATTGGTAGATTAAATAAAAGATATTTCATTACAAGCAAGATTATTTTCGCATACTCGTATTTAAAGGAAATTAAATTAAGTTACTTCATCCGATGTTCGGGTGAAATATCACCCATTTTGAATTTCATCATCATGTAACTTCTATACTTTATTTCACGAGCAATGAAATTTCGTATATTTGTGTCACACTTTTATATCTTTTTAATGTAAAAAGTTTCAAAGTATTTTTCAAAGTATTTTTAGTCATAATTTAAAAATAGGTTTTGAAAAAATATAAGGGCATATTCATAGTCGAAATAAAGTCGACTCTAAAGTTAGTTGCAGCTTTGTTGAGAGATGTTCTAATGAAATTTATGTTATGTAATTCAAAATGGGTGAATTTTAAATTTTCAGGGATCTGTTGCTGAAACATCGTGGTCCGAGTTTCCGTGAAATTGCGATTGCTTTTTCTTCAGATTTCGCGAATATCGGACTACGATTGAGTCATCAATAGCCCGAAAAGCACGACGTCTTCTCTCATAAAACATATATGTATTTAATCTCTGCCAGTCAAAAATTTCCATATATTCTTGTTTTTTTTTCTTGTCTTTTTAGGCCGCCAAGGCAGCTAAAACTGTGAAGTACGGAAGTAACGTCGATGGTATTTCTACATGTGATCCCGATCAATATGCTAAAAGATTTCTAGATTTTATGGATAAAGCAATCGAGTAATTTCATTATCACGTTTTGTGTGTATGCAGAATCGCATTTTTCGATGATCATCTAAACAATTAAGTGAATTGAAATAAATTGTCAATGGCTATTAGTCGTCATCCTATGTATGTATGTCTATATACACCGTGCGAATTATATAGTTACATGCTTGCACCATTTAAATTGCGCTTTCTGAAAGTCCACTTAAAAAAAGAATATTTATATATATTTTAATATTAATGCAGTGATTTACAACTGCAGTGTTTTTTATGCAAAGAAAATAGAATTACCACATAGTAGTGGAAACATTTATCATGGACTTAACAAGAGTAGGGTGCGGAAATTAGTTGAAAAATTAAGTAAACTAGTTAATTTGTTTGAGATACTACATTATTTTCTCGTGCTTTTGCTTTAAAAATAGTGAATACATTCCAAAGGATTTGGCGAACTGTAAGGTCTCAACCTGTAGCTAAAGGTAAATTCAAATACACTCCGTAACAGGAGGCTGAGGATACCTTTGAATATTACTTCTATTATCATATATTTATAAAAAAGGAGTCGCCTCATATATGTATTGAGAAAAGCTTTTCACGTTTTATGCCATGTTACTTTTGAGTTCAAATTTCATCGTAATTTTTCATATACTAACTTTTTTTTTACGTAAATATTTATTACTTCGATAATATAGGATATACTTAACAGCGAGATATTAAATTCGCATCTAAAACTATATTCGTATTGTAAATGAAATTTTGTAATGGAAAATTTTGTTAACGTTGAAAAAAAAGTTTTACAATAGATGCTTTCCATTTCCAGACAACCGGTCAGGTACGAGCATGATTTTTAATTTCGACCAAACTCAAATACATTGTTTGTTGGTCCAAATAATGAGACACATATTTTTTCTTTTGCCTCGGAAAAATTTTTCGGCCGAATTAAACGCGATTTTGTTTTTCAGGCAAAAATCGATTATTCGAATTGACAGTGAGAATGTTTTTTTAAAATGCCCATAACTTTGTCAAAATTTAATAGATTCCAACAATGTTTTTACTCAAATGTCAGTAATCCTTGTCACTTCAAGATAGAATGATATAATTATTGATTTTCATTATTTAAAATTTTTTATTTAACAATAAACAAAAAGTGCATATTTTTTTTTAAATTTAATTTCTCAAAAAGTGTATTTTTTTTCTCTCAAACTTTTTTACCTGGAAAGAGACACTTTGAACTACAATCAACCCAAATCTCTAATAGCGAAGATTTTTTTTTCTGAGTTATGATTTTTTATAGAAAATATACGTTTTTGTGGTACATACTACAATATTCTTATATTGTTTAACTAAATGGAACATATGTATGTAATATATCAGCAAAAAGTACAGCCGTGATCATTTTTTGTGTATCAAATAGATATTAGAACACACTTTCCACCATACAGTTTCGATTATAAAAAGCGGGAAAATGTGATTTTGTATTTCGAAACTGTATGGTGGAAAGTGTGTTCTAATATCTATTTGATACACAAAAAATGATCACGGCTGTACTTTTTGCTGATATATTACATACATATGTTCCATTTAGTTAAACAATATAAGAATATTGTAGTATGTACCACAAAAACGTATATTTTCTATAAAAAATCATAACTCAGAAAAAAAAAAATCTTCGCTATTAGAGATTTGGGTTGATTGTGGTTCAAAGTGTCTCTTTCCAGGTAAAAAAGTGAGAGAGAAAAAAATACACTTTTTGAGAAATTAAATTTATAAAAAAATTTGCACTTTTTGTTTATTGTTAAATAAAAAATTTTAAATAATGAAAATCAATAATTATATCCTTCTATCTTGAAGTGACAAGAATTACTGACATTTGAGTAAAAACATTGTTGGAATCTATTAAATTTTGACAAAGTTATGGGCATTTTAAAAAAACATTCTCACTGTCAATTCGAATAATCGATTTTTGCCTGAAAAACAAAATCGCGTTTAATTCGGCCGAAAAATTTTTCCGAGC